CCACCATGCCATGCAGGTGGTCGTCATTTGGTCATTATGGGGGTCCCTCATGCCCCGGCAATACAGTGTTGCCAACATGGAGGAAGAAAATAATACCACACATCGTTCATGGGCCCAAGTGTGCTCACAAAGGTGGAAAGCCAGCTCCCAGGTGGGGACAGTCCATCCCCTGCTGGCTGTGGGGCTCTATGTCCATCTTGACTTGGAATCCACAGTTCTAGTCTTCCCTGGTGAGCTTTCAGCCTCCCAAGGCTTCTGAGCACAGAGAGAATACTGCTCTCCAGAAACCTTCTGTTAACCTTCATGTAAGTGCCAGGCACATATCTCCATGCAAATGTGAACACACTGGTGTGTTTCCTTTTCCATAGTAAGTAAATCCCTATCCCATGTGTTATCCCCGGGTGTTTCTCTCCTCAAGCAGAAGCCATTTCTACAACTGAGGTCTCAGGTCCCCTGGCCCCCTATCATATCCCTTCAGCCTTCATTGTGCTGGGCATTTCCATCTGAGGAAAGACTTACCCTTCCCCAAGCTGTTCCCACCTCATGTCCCTCCACACTACTTTCCATCTTCCACTGTGGGCTTTCCTGGCCTCATGGAAGCCCAAGGCCAGGTGTGTAGTGTGGGTACCTGGGGAACCTGCAGCCCAGGAGTCCATGATCCCCGCTTTCATCGTGTGATCAAGTCCCCTGGTCCACAGCTGCCCTATGCTTCCTCCTTCCCTGCCCCTACCACTCATTCCCACTTCCTGCAGTTAAATTAACCACACCCAAACTCTTGTCTCAGGCTCTGCTTTGGGAGTTTGGAGACTTGGGGAAAATACAGACAAGCACAACATTCAGTTCACAAATACCAATTAGATTGATAATTGTTAAGAGAGGACTAAGGCTGATGCTGATTAAAGAAGTGCAGACTGTGTCTCAAGGAGAGTCTAGAATAAAACCTCTTCTAACTACCTTCCTGGTCAGCTGTACTCGTTAGTGTGGTTTGTAAGCAAAAGAAACTAACTCTGGTTGCAGGGTGGTTATTTTTTTTGCGGTACCAGGACCTTGAGCTTTTGAGGTAGACACGGCACCATTGAGCTAAATCCCTGCCTGCTGGTTGCATTTTTTAAAAAGGGAAGAGCACAGGCTTTCTTAGGAATCCACAAGGAAGCCTGTCAAGCGGGTCTCAGAGAAGGCAGGAGCCAGGCCTGTGCAGGGCCACCACCCTGGGACAACAGCATGGACGTTCTGGGCCTCTCTGCAGCTCCACCTGGCACCCACCGCTCCTGGCTCCTGCCTCACTTCCTGGAGCAAATTCAGACCCCATGGAACATCTGCTGGTCATGCCTTTAGAGACACCTGTCAACCTGGCTGGGGTACAGACAGCAGGCCATGTCTGTGGTGTCCCAGGAAGCCTGATACAAAGAAGCAGAGATTTCCAGAGGAAAACCAGTGCCTGCTATGCAAAAGGAGGTGCAGTAGGAAAGTCAGCCTCCTTGTGAGATGCTCCTTTCCTTTACAAACAGCTGGTAGGGCATTTACTCAATCCCGAGGGAGCGCACATTGCAACCCATGAGGAACAGCTCACTCAGTGAACAACACAGCCCCAGAAAGCACAGTGAGCCAGGTAACTAGAAGTCTGTTTCCTCCAAACAGCCATCTCCCCCGGACCCTGGAGATGTGGGCACACACATAGGTGCGTGGCCAGCTGTGCGCTGCTGGGCATGGAGGAGCCTCCAGCTTCTGCGTGCAGACCCAGCCCTGGCTGCCCAGGGGGCGCTGTCTTGTGAGATGTCTGCCTCTGTGACCCTCCGGGGCAGGGTGCTAGGAGGTCACCTCTGGGGTGGTGAATGATGGAGCCCTTCCTGCAGCTAAACTTTTATGTATTTTTATTTTTTCCAACCTTTTTCATCTACATGAATAGATACAGGGTCCTTTCAGAACCATGCCTTAAATTGGCAGGTGGTCTCCAAAGAAGCTGTGCAAACATGGCAAGAAAAATAAAAAAGAAAGAAAAAAATAGATCTGTTTTTCTCTGCTTGGGAATAATAAAGCAATTTAACTTATTGTTTCAGCCTGAGACTGATGGGAAGCCCTGCGAACACCCCCTCTCAGGTGGCTGGTGCTGGGGTGCGATTGTGATAACTAAATGCACAGTAACAATGCTGAGATCAGTGAGCTCTTCATTCTCTCTCCTGCGGTGTCTGGGGCAGAAGTTCAAGGTCGGAGTGATGGAGCAGAGACCCTGGACCCGGACCCCAGGTTCCTCTCCACCTGTACTTCCTCCGCTGGCTTCCCCGCCAGAGCCGGCTTGTCCAGGAGAAGCCCCGTGTGGGGACAGCTGTGGACCTGCTGTGTGACACGCAGCCCCTTGGGTCCCCCCAGCGAGTCCGCTCGCAGGGAAGGAGTCATCGGAATGCACATGCATCCGCACACCAGGAAATGTGACTTGCTCACTGCACATGGCTGAAGGCAGACCGAGCACGAGCGCAAGGTGCCCACCGTGGTGGCTGGGGCCACCTCCTCTCCCTTCCTGTCCCCTTTGGGAATGTCCTGAGCTTTGGAAAAGCACTGCTCCTGTGTCTTTGTCCCAGGCTGTTTCCAGGGGAACCCACGCTGACAGGCGGGCTGTCATTTCTCCAGCAGAATGGGGATAGTTGCTGCTTTGCTGGAATAGATAACAGCTCGTCAGATTCCAGGAAAGCATCCCAGGCCTCCTGTTGGGCCACACCCACGCCCACGCCCACTCTCTGTGTCTTCCCAGCCTCTCTGGAGCCCTTGTCTCCTGGTGGACACAGAACATGGGGACCGAGCAGGGCGAGGGCATCAGAGCCTTTGTCTCCCAGGCTCAAGGGGGCTGGGCAAGGTGGAGCAGGGCAGGGCAGTGCCTGAGCTTTCTCCCTGCTGCGCAGCATCCAGTGCAGGTGACAAAGGTGTCGCAGGTGTGAGCAGAGGTCTCCTCGCACCCCTCCTGTGTGTGGGCTCCTGTGAGGTGTCCACATGACGCCCACCCTGGACCTGCGGCTGCAGCTGCTCCCAGTACCCGAAAGCTTTCTCTTCACACCAAGTTGAGCGTGCAGCACGTTAAAGGTCTCTGAATTCCCTGCTGGAGCGTAGACGTCTTAATCTTCCAGCGCAGTGTCACCGCGGTTTCCCTGGACAGGTGTGCAGAGGAAGCACTCGGCTCTCCCGCCTGCTCCTTGCCTGCGCCTGGGCTGGCGTGGGCCCCAGGGTGAGAGCCATCCCCACCCTCTGCAGAGCACCGCTCAGTCCTTTCCTTTCCGTCCTCACCCTCACAGCAGAAAAGCACGCATGGGCTTTTTCCTTCCCAGAGGCAGTGGGGAATAGCATTATATTTGGATTTTACCCCTTCATTTTTTTAGTGTTTTTTTTAACCCAAAATACAATGAAATCAAGCTGGAAACTCACAGAGGAGAAACAGCAAACTGTGTGGAGCCAGTGTCTGGTGGCCCATGCATATCCAGCCTCACAGCCTTATAGTCAGGAGCCTCCAAACCGCGTCCTACCTCCTGGTAAAATAATAAAATGTGGGTGTGGGAATGGCCAAATCCAAAGGCTACACCCAGCTGTTCTTGCATAAGAAACAGCTGACTGCAGGAGGGCGGAGCCGTAGCCTGGGGCGCTGAACTTCATCCCCAGGTGCTGGCGCCACTAACCACCCAGCATCTGCATCTGCACAACAGTCAGGCCCGCTCCGCACAAGCCCAGGGAGCTGGCAGCCCGGGCTGCCACAGGCAAAGGACGATGTAGGCTGGACCAGGGCCTCGGGGGCCACCTCTGCCCTGCGGCACAGAGCACGGGTCCTGTGAGAGCTCTGCCAGGAGAGGCCAGCAGTGCAGACTTCCCGGGGGAAACGCGTGTGGCACAAGGACAGACAGCCCTCCAAACACACCAGCATGTGAGGCCTGGGCCCAGCAAAGCACAGCGTGCATGCGGCCTGGAGCTGTGGCCACGTGAGCCTGGGGACACAGGGACCCGGATGTTTCTGCCATGGGGGAGACGCATGGGGCCCACTTCATCGGGGAGAGGAGAGTCAGAGGCACCGCGTAGTCAGGCAGACTGAGCAGCACCTGTCCTGGGCTGCCAGGGGAGAGGAACCACGTTCTCAGCTCCCACATGGGCCCACCGGTGGCTGCCACCTCCCTGGGGTCATGTTGTGAGCTGATGCACGTTTGCTGGTGTGTGTGTGTGTGTGTGTGTGTTATGAGTGCGTGTGTCACCCTGGTGGGGCCATGGTAGCATTCCTGAGGCCTACAGAGGCCAGGACCCACACGGAGCAGGGAACCCGAAGCGGGAGGAGAGAGCATGCGGCTGTGTGGCAGGCCCTCGAGTGCCCTCGGCCGGCCGTCTCCTGCACCTCCCTGGGTGGGAGCTCACATCACTGCACTAAGCTCCTCTCACCACCCCTGCCCCTGGCCAATAGCTGATGGTTTAGGGTGGATCCCTGCGTGAAAGGCTAGCCCTATTTGAATTCCTGGGTTCAAATCTCACCTTCATCATTTTCTAGCTGTGCACTCTTTTGCAACTTGCAAAACCTCTCTGCTTTCTAAAAAGCAGATAGAATGATTACACCTGTCTGGTCAGGAAGCTGTGAGAACAGCTGGATCACCATGTGTGCACCTCTTAAAGGGATGCTGAGCCAGGTGTGGTGCCGCTCAGGAGGCTGAGGCAGGAGGGTCACCTTGCGTTTGAGGCCAGACTTGGCTGCATAGCGAGACTCTGTCTCAAAGTAATAGAGTGTCTGGCACATAGGCTTGTGCAAGTGTTTGACAAACCTGGGGTTCATCAGCCGCCCTGCGCGGCCTGTTCCGATCTCCATCACATCCCCTGAGCAAGCCCCACAGGGACAGGCGAGCATCCATGGCTGTCATGGACATGGGCGCGCCAAACACTGGCTTCTGGGGCCTGGTGAGGGCTGTGCCTACGGGCCGGGCGTCTGCAGGACCCCAGGGCGGGCCACTCCGCGCATGCAGGCTGACGTGTCTCTGCTCTTCCAGGAGGCGGAGATCCTGAACACGGCTGTCCTCACGGGGAAGACGGTGGCCGTGCCGGTGAGGGTGGTCTCCGTGGAGGAGGACGGCACCGTGACTGGGCCGCTGGAGTCCGTGGAGTGCAGGTCGTCTGATGAAGACGTGGTTAAGGCAAGTCACCGCCCACCCACTGGAGCCCTCGGGCCCTTGATGGGTGTCCTGCTCGCTGGGACCTGGGGACGCTGGGCCCCTCCCAGCCCAGCCCAGTCAAATCAGATCCTGCAGGCCTGCCAGGGAGCCGGGCCAGGGCTGCTCCTGCCTCTCTGTGTGCCCAGTGCCTTGGTGATTTCAGGACATGGGGCAGGGACCGGCACCCGGCTAATGTGGCCGGGTCCGTGCGGCTGCTCTGGGCAACCTTGGCAGCGAGAGCCCGTGTGGAGTCACGGGGCACTAAAGGGCACAGCGAGCCTGGCCTTGGCTTCCAGACCAGGTCCAGCGAGAGAAGGAACCGCGCCCCACCCTGTCACCCCCACAGCTCTGCCCCAGGGAGGGATGCGGCCACCTGCTCGCCCTCTCACCTCATCCCCGTGACTTTCCTTCCTCCCAGCCTTCTCTTCCTCTAAGTTGAATGCAAAAGGATTCCAACCCAGGCACACTTCGAGGTGCAGGAGGCCAGGGCTCCATGTCTGGCTCTGCTGGGGCCCGGGAGCAGGAGGAGGATGGATTTGCAGAGGGCTGCCCCCCTTCCCAAGCTGGGCTGCAGTGGCAGAATCAGCAGCACCTCCTTTCTACCAGGCAGGGACAGCAGCGGCAGCCGGCCAGGGCTCAGTGCCCTGCTCCTCCCAGGCAGGGGTCGCTTTAACCCCCCTGCTCCAAAGGGAGCAGCCAGGGAGTGTTTCTGCCCACCCAGAAAACGGTCAACAAACACAAAGTGAATCTCCACAAGTAGCAGGTCCTGGTCAGGATGTTAGGGCCGTGAAACCTTGGAGCACCAGCCCTGTCCTTGAGGGGCTCAGTGACAAGGTCAAGGTGTAGGAAACCGAGACGATAGCACGACTGTTACACCACCCCTGCCTTGTGCCAGAATCTTCTTTATATCGGTGCAGGGCAGGCACTCCTCCCAGTGGTGCAGGGCATGTCCGGGGATGTGCTTCGTTCGCTCTCTCTCTCACATCCCGGATTCCACCCTTCTCTCTGTGACTGGCCGCCACGCCCCTAGATCAGAACAGCAGCCTCCTTGCCTCTGTGCCACCTTGTCCCCTGCCTCCTTTGCCAGATCAGCAGCCAGGTGGTCAGTTCAGCAGCCAGCAGTTCAGGTGGTCAGTACCTGTCTGGTCAGGACATGTGTCTCTTAGCTTTCTGTCAGAGGGACAAAACACCTGAGGCTAGCAACTTGCAGGTTTATTTGGCTCATGGTTTCAGAGGGCTCAGTCCATGGTTGGCCAGCTCCGTTGTTCTCGGGCCCTGGGTGAGGCAGAAGCATCACTGCAGAAGGGCATTGTGGAGGAAAGCTGCTCACCTCATGGTGGCCAGGAAGGAGAAAAAGAGGGACAGGAAGGGAGGGAGAAGGAGAGAGACAGACAGACTGAGCCTGTGCTAGCAGCTTCTGCCTCCTTCTGCCTTCATTCCCTCTGGGCCCCAGCCTGCTGGATGGTGCTGCCCACGTTCAGCACAGTCTCCCCCCAGCCAGTTTGGAGTCCCCATGTGCCAGTCATTCCGGAAGCGCCCTCATGCACTGTGCTAACTCCAATCCAATCCAGTTGACCTGAAGATGAGCCACTGGCCGTCCCCAGATCAGAACCCTTCCCCGGCTTCCAGTCCACGCAGAGGAGAAGCAATGTTGGCCAGGAGGGCAGGGGCACCGCGCCACACACAGCGCCCTCCCACCTCCCATTCCAGCCGAGTCTTCTGGGCTCCCCTCTGCCCTGTGTTTGCCAGGTGTCTGGTGGCCGGGGCCCATGTGTATCCTTCCCCACAGCCTCCCCTGGCAGCACAGGGACCTGTCTTTCCCGGGCTGGCTGGGCGAGGTGCATGCGTGTGTGTGTGTGTGTGTGTGTGTGTGTGTGTGTGTGTGTGTGTAGATACATCGTGCACGTGTTTACTCACACTCACACATGCACTCTGTATTTGCTCCGTCACCTGCGTCTGTTGTCTTGCTGGCCTCTCAGCACTGTCAGCTCCAGGAGCCCAGGGCTAGGCTGGCTCCCTTTGTTCCTTCATCACTTATAACAGCACAGGCACAGAGTAAGCGCTCAGCAAATGTTTGTGAATAAACAAACAGCGTGTGCATGCTCCTCTGTGCACATGGGGTGACTCCTGTGAGACCCGCCATTTGGCCGAAAGCATCTTGGTAAATGCGTGGGATACGCAGAGCCTCACCTCCTGCACATCCGGGGGCCCAGCTGACCCGAGAGGCGCTCAGAACACTCCGGTTGGCCCGCAGCGGGCAGTCGTGGGCCACACCCACGGCACGAGGAAGTGCTCAGTAGCCCCTGTGATTTGCTGAACACCTGTACCCCCATCTCCTGCAGAGTGTGGGGCATGGCCCTGTGGAGGCCAGGGGGGAGCTGCGGTTCTGGACTGTTGTGTGCATACTTCTGGCCCGGGGAAAGTCATTGGCTCACAGACCTACGAGGCACTGGTCACAGCCCACCACATGCTGTTCACAGAACTTGCAGCTGGCACAGGATTCAGGCCTGGAGACCCACGGCCTGCACAGCTGTCACAGACGGCAGCAGCCACCTGAAACACAGGGCTCTGCGGTCACTGGGGGTCCCCGGAGGGGCATCAGCCACCCGTGCGGGCTGGAAGCCTCTGGGAGGGGGCCATCCAGCCAGGCTCCCTCAGGCGTGTCGACCTGGGTGCTGCCTTATGCCTCCCGGGAGTTTGTGTCTGATTTTATTTCATTTCTTCAAAAGGCAACTGAGCCCAAGTGGGAGCATTCAGATATTAGTAAGAGTATCCAGTGTGGTTCTCATAAAATCCACCCCCAAAACTTAAGTTTTAAAAAAATAGATGTGAAACACTCAGAGTTGAGGCTCACCGAAGGGAACTTTGCACAGAACCTCAAAAGTGTCACCAGACGTACTCCTTCCCCGGCCTCTCCTCCCTCCCTCCCTCCCTCCCTCTCCTCCCCCACACCCTCCCTACTGCCGGGGTGGGGGGGGCCCTCCTGGGGGCCCAACGATACGGGACTGGCCTGCATCCCGCAGGAAAGAATCAGAACCTTCCAGAGTTCCTCCAGGACTCCTGGGATGTTCTGACGGGCTCCGTTTGGGTCACCTCCTGTCCTCCACCAAGCCTGCCGCCCAGGGACCCAGAAGTGAGCATGGGGGGCGGAGGCCAGCAGATCTGAGGGCTGGGACCCTCAGCCTGGGGTCTGGGGAGCAGCAGGAGGACAGCTCCCAAGGCGCCTCTCACACGGGGAGGCCTGGGGCTTAGGCGTCCGGGTTTCTCCTACTTGGCCGCTCATGGGCTCAGGTGTCCCCACGGGACCCTAAGCAGTCTGTCCACCTCCCACTTCCGAAATGCCCTCTGACCCAGTGAGGGCCAGTCAGCAGGGATCACCCGTTCTCATGACAGTGCCTTCTCCCTGGGGGTGTCGCTTCTGACCCTGTCCCTCACCCTGCAACCTGTCCTCCACCCTGATCACCCAGTGCCCTTCATGCCTGCCCTCTCCTTCGCAGTAACTTGGGGAACGGAGTTCAAGCCCAGCATGGCCAACTTAGTGGGACCTTGTCTCAAAATTTAAAAAAAAATAGAAAGGGCTGGGATGTAGTGAAATGGAAGAGCACCCCGGGTTAATCTTTAGTACCATTAAAGCAAAACAACCCAGGGAATCTTCTAAGGCCAGTGGATGAAACGCCCTCAGGCCCGAGGACTTCCTGCAGGCTGGGCTGCTGGAGATCCAGCACCCGCGGGTACATGCGTGACCAGGAGAGGAGGCGGAGCTTCAGCCCCAATTCCTCCTGCTTCCTGTCTCCTCCATAAAGGGGAAGTGCAGTGCAGCCAGTGGGCAGCTTCACTGTACCAGGCCCGGGCAGGGACCCCGACCTGGCAGAGGGTCGCAAGTTGCCAGTCCTGAGGATTTCAAGGTCAAAATGACAGACGGCGGCTTTGGCAGTCAGACCACAGACACGGGCCAAAGAGCTTCAGTTTCAGAGACTTTTGTGGGGGTTTTTTGTTGTTTTTTTTTTTGGTACTGGGGATCGAACTCAGTACCTTGCGCTTTCGAGGCAGGCAGCAGAACCCTAAGCTAAATCCCCGGGCCTAGTTTCAGAGATTCTTCAAGAGCAGTTTTTGTTACAGTGAATTTGACCTTTCTTTCTAAATCTTTATTTCTGTTGGTCCATGCTTGCAGTATGTAGTGGTCACACCTCCTGTGGAGCTGGTGCTCGGACAGAACGCGTTTCACTTCCTTTTTCCCCCCTTTCCTGCTCCTCATCTCTCGGTCCCCTCCCCTTTTGCAAAAGATCTCGCTCCTTATTTCCTATCATCTGTCTTTTGTTTTGCTCTTTAATATCTTCATACTCCAGGTTTCTCATAGAAGAGAAACCCTGTGATATTGAAGCTTGTGCGTCTGATTATTTCACTTAGCATTATGGTCTCAGGTGCATCCATTTTCCTACACATGACTCAAGTGTGCTCTTCTTTATGGCAGAGTAGTACTCCACTGTGCATAAACACCAAGCTGTTTGTATCCATTCATCTGCCATGCACACATGCGCTGCTTCCAAGATTGGGTTTGACTCTTGAGCCAAAGAGGGCCTGTGCTGGCTGCTCTTAGAATGTTAACGCCCTGGGCTGAGGGATGTGAAGAAACTCAAGATGGAGCTTGTGCCTCACTGGCCTCTGGGTTCCTGGATCTGACCTGTGGCCTGGGCCACAGCAGCTGCTGGGTAAATAATGATTTTCTACACAGTGAATGACAAATCCAGGTTTGTGTTAAAATGAGAAACATCTGGGGTCACAGAGCATCAGTGCTTTGCTTCCTGTGGTGTTTCCAGTTAAAGTGGCTTTGTTAACCACACACTTCGTGCGCAGTGGTACCCGAGCACGGCCAGACTTGGGCTGCAAGGCTTGCTGCGTGCTGAGGTGCTATGGGCCAGGGGTTTCAGGGTGGCACCGCCGGGGGTTGCAGCCCCCATGGCAGGCACAGTGCCTGCCTGGCA